TGAATCCTTTAAAACTGTCTATTTTGCCTTTTGGTAGTCTTGTGATTGTTTGTTGAATGCCAGAGGCATGTAAAGTATGTAGAACAGTAAGTTCATAGTAAACATTAGGCAATACTATCATCATAAATCAACTGTTTGTGCATTCTCTTTTCTGATCTTTTGAGTTGCTGTCCATTTCCTCAAAGGTACAGTTTGAATTTATAATACAAGTTAACATTTTAGCACTTACTATGTTGCAAGCAATCAGAATAGGTCAGTTCCTGTAATCTTCCTAATAACCCTCTGAGGTAGTACTGCCTCATTTCAGGGAAATACCCATCCCAGTTTTCTCTCTGCACTGCATCCTGAGGAAGTTTAGGTCACTAACCTCATTTGCCATTTCTATGGTAAGTACAATGTATCAGTCAGTATTTACTAGATAAACAGATATAATACAAGGTTTATAAATATGTATGAATTTACAAGATTGGCTTACAATGGCCACTCAAAGTCAGATGAGGAAGAGTGCAGAGGATCTGCCTGCACACTGGAGACCGAAGGATTTAGTCAAAGGCCTGGAGCTCAGTGCAGTGTCCTGTGCGAGTCTGTATCAGGAGGCTGATGGGTCTTCGAGGGAAGGCTGTGGAGTCTACTTCAGAAGGCCACAGGATCTGTGACTGAAGCCGGAGTCTGCACTGGAAGGCAGGAGATGACATCCAAGGTGAAGACTGGAGCTCCTCTGAAGTAACAGAAACAGATCTGTCCTTTCTCATTTCCCCTTTATACCACCCAGACCCCTCCGAGCCACCCAGGGGCAGGTCCTCCACACCCTAGGGTGTGGAATTGCTGAGCTGATTTAGTTAAGTTTCTCTTAACTACCTTCTCAAATTGACACAGTCAACCAATCATCACACACAACATGTCCTTGACTGAATTCCTGATCTTCTCTGGCACAGCTGGTGGTTTTCTGATGGTCCCTATCCCAGGAATGCACCCTACCCCCTGGTTTATGCAGGTCAGAAACTTACAAGTCTTCTCTCCTTCTACCCTTTCCTGCCTCCCCCAGATCTAGAATCTACCAGGGGACTTGTCCTCCCTCTGCCCTGCTCTGTCTGGCTCCCACTGCTGCTAGGTTTTGCCTGCACTAATTCAGTGAGCTCCCACCTGGGCTCCTGAAACTGCTTCTGGTCCCTCTTTATCCTTTCCTCCAAACTGCAGCCATAGGCACTGTTTAAAATGGAAATCAGATCGTGCTTCCCACCATCTCCCTTCTTCCCGCTTGAAACCTTCATTGCTTCTTGCTCAGGAAGAAAGACCCAGATCCTCAGCATAGGCCAAGGCTCTACACGGTCTAGCTTCTGTCAGCCCTTCCAGCCTCTCTCCCACCATGTTCTCCTTCACTCTGCACTCAGCCATACAAGCCTATCTTGGTTCTTTCAAGGGACTGTTTTTCCACAGGGCCTTTGCACATAAGGTTCCTGCTGCCTGGAATGTTCCTTCCTTGTCCTCCTATTCATTGTCCTTTGACTGTCAGCTCAAGAATCACTTGATCTTCCCCTAATCTTTCCACCTCCACATACTACCTATTCTCATTCAGGACAGTTCTACATGGAACTGGGTCCCTGTACCATATATAATATATCTTGGCTACTCCAATGTGTCTGATTATTTCAGCAACATTTCATTCCTGATCTGACTTTATTAATAGCTTCACTAGCCTCTAAGCTCCATGAGTGTGTCTTCAGATCCTTAGTGCATCGCCTGGCAGGTGCTCAGAACACTAAGCACTCTGTAAAGATGTGTGGCATAAATGACTAGAATTATAAGAAAAATACTCACCAGTTTTTTTACTGGAATAACATTGAGCCTGTAAATTACTTGCGAAGAGTCTTTACTGTATTGTCTTCCTAATCAGGAGCCTTATGCCACTGCATTCTTTTTAAGAGTATAATAGTTTTACTGAGGACTAGAATCATGTCTAGTGAAGCATGGCAAACAAGAATTGTTTGGCTTGGAGGACAGGAAGCTTAGGAACAGAATTGCTCTTTTAAATACTTGAAGGGACAGAAGTCTTGTTCCATGGCCCCATGCGGGGGAAAGGGGGGTGAGTTGGACCCATTGAAAAGTTGAGGGGAGGCAGATTTGGGCTCAGGTGAAAGCAGTAGACGAAACAGACTGCCCTCCTCCCTTGGTGTCTGTGAGCAATCTGGGGGGACCAGGTGTTGGCCACTGTCCTTGGTTTTGCTAATTTCCAGTTTGGCTAAGGGCTGCCCACTGGCCTGGAGAGAGGCTCCAGAGGAGGGTGTGGCTCAAAAGGAAAGAAAGGCCAGGGGTGAGGCAGCTGCTGAAGGAAAAGAAAGTTTGGGCAAAGGACAGAGATGCATAAGGGCTTTGGAAGGAAGTTTTGCTGCATAAATGATGTGTAACCCTCTCATTGGGACCTCATAAAGATTTCAAAAGGATCTATCATTCATCAGTGCTTTTATGTCTGTGACTTTCAGAGAATCACAGCACTGAGCCTGGTAGGGGGTTGAGCTTGCAAGGAACAGAACTTTTTAATCAAGTTGTTCAAGGGCAAAATGGGCTATCTTAAGAAATGGGAGCTTTTCCTGTCATGTGTCACTCAAGCAGAACTTGGACCATCTCATGGCAGGAAAACCAAGCAAGGGATTCAAGCATCTGATGAAGACTGAATTTCCTTTAAAGTAGCTTTGAAGCTGGGTGCAGTAGCGCATGCCAGTAATCCCAGCTATTCAGGAGGTTGGGACAGGAAGCTTGCAAGTTTGAGCCCAACCTGGACAACTTAGGAAGACCCTATTTCAAAATAAAAATTGAAGGGCTAGTAATGTAGCCCAGTGCAAGGCCCTGGGTTTATTCCACAGTGCTACAAAAATAGGTAGATGATTGATAGATAGATAGATAGATAGATAGACAGACAGTTTGCCTTAACTCTGAAGGGCTCCAATTCATGGGCACCCATTCATCTGGCCCTTTCACCCCACAATAAACACTATTTGGGCTCAGGTAGTTAGTGTCTCTCAGGTAGAAAAGGCATCACATTGCCTGAGATCACAAAAGGAGGGAGGAAAAAAGAAAATGATTGCTTCATCATATTCTTTTTAGATTTTAGTTTCCCCTTCTGGTTCTTGGAGGCATAACTGGCACCTGCTGGCATCATGAGGTCCTTGCATGCTAGGGAGGGAAGGAATGGGGTTTCAATCATTTACTCAACCCATTTTCAACCACAAAAGGGTATCCTTGTGTAAGAGTGAGCAAAGGAAAATGTTGGCAAGTTGGAGTGGTAAAGAGGCTTTCAGGGAGGGAGGTTGTGAGGATGTAAGCTGAGGTCCTCCCACTGGGTACTAGTGGTCATTCTGAAGCAGCAGCAACTTTGGGACCTGTAAGAGCCAGGTGCCTTTGAGACATTTTAGCTCAGGGATGTTCACAGCTTATAATTTGCCCAGGTCCCTACACAGATCTTGCATAGCAGGCAGAGGCCCTCAGAGGGGAATCAGTCAGATCTATTGAACCTGAGGCCAGAGAGGGTTTTCATCATTAGTAACTTCGTGTATCAGCTCCTGAGCATATATTGAAATGGGGCACTGGGTCAAACTTTTCTGAAGCTCTGAACTTTTTTTTCTTTGAAAGGGGGAGTCTATAAGAATACAATTTTAATGTTATTTATACTATGATTGTGTGTAGCCTGTCATAAATAGACAGGCTACAACTGCAGACTCTCAGAGGCTTTTAATAGCACAGTGCGTTTCTCAGTCATCTACATGGGTCAGCTGGGGCTTGTGATCTATGTCTTCAGGCTAGGGACCCTTGCTACTACTGTTTGCTGGACAGTGATTGCTATGGCAGGAGGAAGGGAATGTAGCCCATCAAGCACTGTCTCAAAGGCATCTATCTGGAAGCCACACATTTCTGCTCACATCCATTGGCCTTGGCAAGACCTATGCACCCCACTGTGTAGCAGGCACATTGCAGGCACATTGCAGCTGCTCGTGCACCTAGAGGACCATCAAAATTCCAATGAGCAGTCCTGGTGATGGCCGCATTTGGCAAACAGGTCAGTTTGTGACCAGTGGTCCTCACCCAAAGTGCTAATAATGATTAGATGGGGAAGAAATAACTGTTTGAGTCAGAAGTTTAGGAATGGAGGTCATGGCATTTGGAATCATATTTTATTCCTTGTCTATATTTCCTCAAAGCCAGTGGCAATGCCCTCCTATAGGCAGCCCCATTTCCTGGTAGGGTTCCCATTATACTGGAGAACAAAGCCACCAGGTGAAAATTAGAGTGTAATTTGGAGTTGGAAGGTGAGAAGGTGGATATAGAAATAATATCCTCCCATGGTGTAAAATGTGGAGGAACAAAGCAGTTGTCACAAAAATGCTTCCAGCCAAATTTCACATGAAATGTACCTCCCAGTACCATCTGCCTTTGAACCCCAGGGAAATAGGACTCCTGGAGGGCTCGTGGTCTGTAGGAAAACACTCAGGCTGTGACTTTCCCAAAGCAGCCGGTCTGGCTCCATGCAGCCTCTCCTGGGTTTTCTGATTTTCCTGCAGCCTTGGGGTTAGGTAGAGGGCAACTTTAGCCATCTGGCTCAGATACCTTAAGCAAAAGACCCCTTATTCTCTGACTTTGGGGTTGGGAATGGATTTTCTTTGCCACTTCTAATTGACATCACTCTGGGGATCTTTAATGGAAGTACATCCAGCTTTTCCTCTAGGACTGCAGGTCACGGAGCTGGCCAGCAGAGCAGGCGTTTTTCTAATCACATTCAGCCACAGGACACACTAGAGCTAGATCATTTCTAGATCCCACCTTCAGCTTGCAAATTGTGTTTGAATGGGCCAAATTCATCACAGATTTGGAGTTCGTTGAAAACTACCATTGAGAGGGGCTAGTCCAGCCTATGCCCCAGGCTGAGCTAGATCCCAAAGGGTCCCCTGTACTGGGGTGAGGGGCCCTCTCTTCCTGTGACTCTTCACTTCCTCTTTGATTCTCCTCAGGAACTTGAGCGCCTGAACCAGGTGCTGGAGGCCGAGAAGCAGCAGTTTGAGGAGGTGGTGCAGGAGCTGAGAGTGGAGCAGGAGCAGATCAAGAGGTGGTGGCAGCGCCCCTGGAAGGGCCCAGGGAGGGCACCCTGGCATACAGCATCGTAGCCTCTGCTTAGAAAGGCCTGACTGGGTTTGGATTTCTCTTCCCAACACTCCAGGCCTTGGGTGTGCCCAGAGGAAGCTGTCATTTGTGCCCATTGATAATGATCTTTTGCAATGTCATGAATTGGAGCATGAGGCATGAGGAGAGCAGGCAGGCTCCCTCCAAACAACCAGCCCCTCCTGCCTCAGTGAAAACCCCCTACCCAGGCTCGGTCAGGAACAAGCTGGCCTGGCCTGGAGGTAATGTTAGCCGAGACCCCCAACATTCTGTCTCCTCTGTACAGTCCTTTCTTATTTTGGCTAATGATATCATTTGGGATCTTTAGCTCCTTGTATTGTTTGCAAAACTAGTTGCACATTATAATAATCTACTCAATTATCATCTTTTGAAAGGAGGACCCTCAACATTTATGGGTCTTTTTTGGTACCGGGGATCGAACTTGGGACCTTGTGTTTTCGAGGCAGGTGGTAGAACCACTGAGCTAAATCCCTAGCCCTCAAAATTTATGTTTTAAAAAAAAGCACACCTGATGATTCAGATGTAGCCTATCCAGGAATTTGGAGACAGCTATTCTGGGTGGTGATGATGGTGGTTGCTATCTTCATCATCGTCACCACTGATCATCAATGATAATCCAGAAAAATTTTATTCCAACAACCTTATAAGACAAAATCAACTGTATGTGTATTTTGGGGAGGATCAGAAAAATCTTACCAAATCAAAAGCTAAGGATCTACTTACCTTCCAGAATTGTGCCAGACAGTGGAAAAGAAAATCTCCATTGAGAATCTTTTGTTCTGATTGGGAAAACCACACTCTCAGAAACATTAACACAATAATGTATAGTCAGGGCTAGAAGGCAGACTGCAGATTTCTTTGGTCTTAGGAATTAAGATATATGTGTCATAGGGCCCGGGATTTAGCTCAGTGGCCCTGGGCCTGCCTTGTAAGTGGAAGGTCCTGAGTTCCATCCCTGGTACCAAAAAAAAAAAAAAAAAGATACATGTGTCACCCTTTCGGGTTTGAATAGAGATTAAGTGGAGCTGGCCTCAAAATGTGAGTAGGCCTTGGAAGATTGGGCAGGAAAAGGGAAGATCCTCCAAGCAGAAGTAGGGGAATCATCTAAAAGCCTGTGATGGCGAAGGCTTGTTAAGAAGGCAGAAAGAGCCAGGTGCGGTATTTTAGGCCTGTAATCCGGCACTCAGGAGGCCAAAGCAGGAGGATGGCTGTGAGTTCAAGCCTGGGTTACATAGCGTGACCCCGTCTCAAAAAGCCAACAGCAATTTAAAAAAAAAAAAGAGGAGGAGGAGGAGGCAGAAGGAGTTTGTTTCCCCAGAGAGGGGCTTTAGTCATGTCTCGTGTCACAGTGATTATAGGTTATAGCAGGTACTGTCCAGGAAGACAGAGGCATGGCTGGTCCCCTTGGTTTCTCTGAGCTCCGCTCTGCCTGTGAGGTGGCTCTAGGTTTATCCTGCTTGACAGATCCATGTGCACCTGGAGCAGGTAACTCCACCCTCACTTGGCTGGGATCCCGTATCAGCCTCAACCCCTACAGTTGCTTTTGGAGCCCAGGGTTGCAGAGGGACTGGCCACACAGAGCACCCCTGTGCCACATCAGGAGGTACAGCAGAAGCATTTCTGTGGGCACCGCTATACCTAGCCCTCTGTCCCCACAGGGAACTAGAACTCACTGCAAGATGCCTCAAGGGTGTGGAACAAGAGAAAAAGGAACTGAGGCAGCTCACGGAATCTTTGCAGCAGACACTGGAGGTGAGGGGCTGCTTGTGGCTGGTGGCTGGCTGGGCAGGCTGGTTGGTTGAGCTGTGTGACCCTGGTTTTCCCAACAGCATTTCCCCTTGGTGTACCGGGCAGGAAGAGGTGCTCATCTAAAGGGTCTCTCCTCTGTGGATGGTTAGGAAGTCTGGTCTGTGCAGGAGGCCCTAAGCAGGAACTGACTATTCCCAGACCCAGAGGACAAATTCCAGTTTGCCCTTGTGATGATTATGGCTTCAGGAAATACATTCTTCAGTGGTTGTATTTTTACACCAGATGAAGGATTGATTAGGGTGGACAGTGGAGCCACATCCTTCCTGTGGCCCATTCGCTTAGTTACTCCTGGGTGCAGCTGAGCATGAAGGGAAATCAGCTGCCAGGTCACCTTCATCTGATGCCCAGAAACTGGGGGGAGGGGCATCTGTGTTAAGGACAAAGTGCATACTCCTTAGCATAGCATGCAAATGCCAGTTGGGCCCCATTTCTTCCTTGTTGCCCCTCCACCTCCCACACAAAAACACCCCAACTCCTGCTCTAATCACTGAGCTCATAGTCCCCAAGAAATACGAACTCATTCTCTATGCCTTTGCCTATGCTGCTCCCTTTGCATATTCTTCCCACCTCTTCCTTGCCTGGAGGACTCCTATTCATCCTTCTTAGACTCAGCTCAAATATTTCCTTAGTCATGCTTCCTTGATGCTTCTAGGCAGGTATTTCCTCTGAGCTCTGGGTCCCCATGGCATTTTGTATATCTGTTGTGGGATGAACACTCAAGGTTGTGTTTTCCAAACTGTGGACTTCACTAGACTCGCCCCCGCACCCCACAGATTGATCCCAAGGCCTTTGCATTGTGCTATATGCCCAACTATTTTTATTTTTTATTTTGAGACAGGGTGTTGCTAAGTTACTAAGTTTCCCAGGTTGGGCTTGAATCTGCAGTCCTGCCTCAGTCTCCCAGAGTGCTGGAATTACAGGCATGTGCCACCACCCCCAGTTTAGACAATGTCTCAATGGTATCTCTAAGCCTAGCATCTGAGCCTGGTACATGGTATGTGACCTGTACATGTTTACTCAATCCATGAATTGCCTTGAAAGCTGCAGGAGTTTCTAGTCTCCCTTGCCTGACTAGAGCTTTGTGGGCACCTTATATGTTTATCTTTCCCTGCTTCTTCCTGTCATGGGAGGTAGTTCCCCATGGATAGTTTCAACTCCAGATTTTCTGTGTAGTGTAGCTGGTAAATACAGAGAACATCTAAATCTGCTTCTTGGTCTCATCCTGTTGAGAGTTTTTCACATGAGTCCAATACATCTTTTTCTCCCCCATGAAGAAACAAGGAGCCCCAGGAGGTCATGGTGCCCTTGGGCCTTGGGACCCAGTTCTGTTAGGTGCCATCTTCACTAGAAGCCACATTGGGATGCTCTCTGACTTCCTACACTAAGGGCTAACCTTACCTTGTAAGAAAGGAGGTCTTGGCCTTCTACTTTTGAAGAATGAGACTTTTCAGGTGTCTCTAAGAGAGGGATAGATCACTCCCTGCAATAAAAAGGTGGGTGAGGGCCACCATGTTTAGAAACTAAATTGGGCTCTTCCTCTTCCTTCCTTACCTCCACACCAGGAACTCTCCATAGAGAAGAAGAAAACCCTGGAAATGCTGGAGGAGGATGAGAACCAGCTGCAGTCACTGGCCAATCAGAGTGAGCAGCTGTCTGCCATTGGGGGTCTCCATAGCAACCTAAGGCAGATTGAGGATCGGATTCAGCAGCTCTTGACAGAGAAGCTTCTGGCGGAGAAGCGGTGAGGGCCCTGAAACCCCTGAGTTCATGAGCAGATTGGGGGACTGGTAACTCCTCAAGCTTGATGGCTGGACTCAGGTTCTAGCTGCCACTAACCAATGGGTCACTCGCTTCCTTTTGCCTAAGACTCAGTTTCCCCAGCAGGCAAATTGGACAACCTTTCTCCCCAAATGGACAATTGCCTCACAGTGATGAACTGGAGTCATTAGGTCCTCAGAACAGTGCTTTGTGGCTGACTGGGCAGGTTCCCTTAGCCCCCTTCTACACTGGAGGAAACCGAGCCTCAGAGGAGTGACAGGACTTCTCAGGGTCTCAGAACTGACAGGCCACAGATCCAGGACTCCAGCCAGTCTTCTGCCTCTAGGGCCAGGGCTCCCATCACTGACCACACCATCCCTCAGGTGACCACACCCAGAAAGTTCTGGGAGCTTAGGATCTCTCCAGGCAGATCTCGGGGGAGGGCGGCCCCTTTTGGTAGGTGAGCATCTAGTAGGTTCCTCTCCTGCCCGGCAGGATGAAGGAGAATGAGGAGCGCTCACGGGCCCTGGAGGAGGAGCGGGAGTTCTACTCCAGCCAGTCCCGGGCGCTGCAGAACTCACTGCAGGAGCTGACAGCAGAGAAGCAGCAGGCTGAGCGGGAGCTCAAGGTGCGTGGGCCTGTGGGTGCCACTGTGCTTGGGCCCTTCCCCTCTCCTGGGACCTCTGCCCATCTTTGCACCTTACTTACCAGATAGCTGCCTGAATCATCTCTGCCAGTATGACCAGCTGGCCAAGTACAGGGCACAGAACCACCAGAGGGAAGCAGTCTACTCCACCATTGGGAGACACCTTCTGGATGCAAGGCCAACCCCAGGCCTCTGAGTCAGGGGTGAGCTATAGAGGCAGGATATGGAAACATCCATCCAAGCTCATTGAGCCAGGGGTAATCAGGGAAGACTTCCAGAGAGAGGGCAGCTGCTCTCAGGAGCCCACTTCCTTCTCATTCAGGCTGAGGTGAAGGTCCGCATGGACCTGGAGAGACGTCTGCGGGAGGCAGAGGGCGCTTTGCAGAGCCTGGAACAAGGGCTCAACTCCAAGGTGCGGAATAAGGAGAAGGAGGAGAGGATGCGGGCTGATGTGAGCCACCTGAAAAGTAAGCCCTCCCTTTGGGGTCTGGTCCCCCAGTCCCAGAGCTCAGCCTGGCTAGACTCCAGGCTCCTCAGAGCCCGGAAGAGCCCCTGGTGTGCACGAGGTGGTCTTTGGTGGTTTTTTCCTCCGGACACCTGCCAAGAGGGTTCCCTTGGCTCTGCTTCCTTTTGGCCACTGGGTCTGGGGGTAAAGCCTGGAGTTTCTTCCCCTTTGCAAAACCTCACAGCTCTGTTCTCAGCTGCCCTGCCTTTGCAGATAGTGGCTCTGGTCTAAGGGGTGGGATCGAGCCCTCAGGGATCCTTGGGGGGGCGCGAAGGATGCAGTTGAACCGCCCCTCGGCCCACTCACAGGGTTTTTCGAGGAGTGCATCCGGAATGCAGAGCTGGAGGCCAAGATGCCGGTCATCATGAAGAACTCGGTGTACATTCACAAGGCGGCCACTCGCCGCATCAAGAGCTGCCGCTTCCACCGGCGCCGGTCCAGCACCTCCTGGAATGACAGTGAGTGTGACTGTCTGTGTCCCTGCTGCCTGAGCTGGGCACAGGCTGTGGGTGGCCAGGCAGGAAGAGGACAGGGTGGGGAGCAGGCAGGGCTGGCCTGGCTCTGAAGCTGGGCCATGTAGCCTACAACCTGATGCTTCCAGCCTTGGTGAATTCTCAAGCCATGTATTTCTCCCAGGATTGTAGAGGCCATGGCAGGAAGAGGCTGGGGGAGCTCAGCAGCCATAGGACTGGAATGATGGAGGCAGAGTAGGGTTGGGGTCAGAGTCAGGTTTGGGGCTAGCCTTGGTGGGGGAGTCTGCTTACAGGGTGCATGGGCCCTGTCTTCCCAGTGAAGCCGTCCCAGTCCTTCATGACCTCCCAGCTGGAAGCCAACAACATAGAGGAGCTAAAGGAAGTGGCCAAGCGGCTCAGCCGGGACCAGCGCTTCCGGGAATCCATCTACCACATCATGGCCACCCAGCCTGGAGCCGCTTCTGTGCTTCCCCGGGGTGGAAAGTGATGGGCAGTCCTCCCTGCCCACATCTGGGGTTGCAGAAGGAGGCCTAATTCCACGGGGCTCTTCTCCAGCAGAGCGCCACCCGGAGACCAGCCTCACCCTCCAAGAACTGGGACGACATCTCCCTGGGTCACCACCTGGACCCTGTCCTCCCCTGTGTGTCCACCCTGGGTGCTGCCCGGTTGTCATGGTGAGATGAGGCAGGCCCTGGCTGTGCATGACTTTTGTTGGTCAGGGAGTGGGGTGGGGAAGCTGCCTGGCCCTGGAAGCTGCCTTTCTGGCTGAAGACCACTCTCCAGAATCCCCAGTCTCCTCTGCAACTCTGCTCTCCTGCACCTGGTCCTCATGCGTGATAAATGGCCTCACCTTCAAGGGTGGGCCCCACCTCCCACCTGATTCTCTTCTTCCCTAGGCTTTCCTACCCTGCGTCTGGTCCTCATAGACATCCCTAGCCATGGCCTCCACTCAGTCCGTGTCCTGGGAGAGGGAAGAGAAGGTTGTGCACTCCACACACTCCACACACTCGCCAGTGTCAAGGTTCCTGGGCTTGGCCCTGGCTGTGGGACCCCCGCCAGCTCCCTCCTCCTCACATGCGTTCACCCACACGCAGTCTCGGCAACCTGCAAGAGGAGTGTGAGTCCAAAGTGACCCTCCTGGGCCCTGGCTGGGGCTGGGACCAGCAGCAGCACCACAGGCTGTCCCAGAGGACACGAGGGACAGGGCTCAGGCGTGGAAAAGGTGGCTTGGGCAGAGACAGCTGTCCCTGGCTCCAGTGGCCCTGCAGGCTTGCTGTCTCCTTCACCCAGTGAAGCATTGCAACCATGACCCCCAGCACATGGGGAGCCTGGCGCTGGGATAAACCAGTACCACTGGTGGGCTTAGTGTCAATAGGGTTGAAGCTGTAGCACCCACCTGCAGTTTGTATGGAGACCACCACCTTCCGGAGGCTGAGGGCCACAGGATGTGTTCCTCACCTGTGAGTCTTCTGGGCCCATCCTCTGAAGCCACCTGTCTGTCCATCTCTCCAGAAAAGGGAGGTCCTGGGATTGGGACGTTCCGGGACACTGGTGGCGTTAAAGGTACCAATTCTCTACTCTTCAGAAAACCGAGATTTTTCTGATGGCTGGACTGATGCTGTGGCTGTGGCCAATCCCAGCAGAAGGGGCAGGTCCCTGAGCACCTGCAGCACATTCTGTGGATGAGGAGGGCGGCTTCCTCGGAGAACAGGCCCCATCCGCTGCTCTGCTAGCCAAGGTGCTGGGCTGCCTTGCTCTGGGAGACCTGGAGAGGCGAATCTTGATAGTCCCTTCTCAGGGATGGCAGTTACTGGAGCTGGTGGGGAGGGGGAGCACTTTGGAATCAATGCATTTGAATGTAAATATAAAAGCTTTAAATATGTATAAACCTGTATAACCTGGAAGACGTTTATCTAATATGTATGTAGAGTGAACTTTCAAATGAGGAGGAATACTTATAAAACCAAGATTACTGATTTTGCTTTTTCTGTGCTGGGGACTGAACCTGGGGCCTGCTCTACCATTGACCTACATCTCCAACCTTTTTTATTTTTCATTTTGAGACAGGGTCTCACTAAGTTGACCAGGTTGGCCTGCGATTTACAATTCTCCCGCCTCAGCTCCAGGTAGCTGGGGTTAGGCACCACCATGCCTGGCTATTTTTAAGGAATTAAATTAATGATGGCTTGCTCTGAAGAAAGATCTTTTGGAAATTTTCAAATGCATTTGTTTTTCCTGGGCAAGCTATTAGCCAGGAAGGACAGTGCTTGTCTTAGTCCGTTCTGTCATGCTATAACAGATACCTGAAGCTGGGTAATTTATAAAGAAGAGAAGTTTATTGGCTCATGGTTTTGGAGACTGAGAAGTCCAACCTGAAGGTGCTGGTATCAGCAAGGAGCTTCTCACTGTGTCATCCCATGATGGCAAGGCAGGAGAAGTAGGAAAATTCAGCAGGGGCCCAACTCACCCTTTTATAAATAACCACTCCCACAATAGCTCACTCCTGCAAAAGTGACACTCAGCTATTCATGAGGGCAGAGGCCTTGTGGCCTAATCATCTCTTTTTTTAAGCACTGAAGATTAAACTGAGGGCCTTCACACTGAGCTACATTCATACCTCCTTTTAATTTAATTTTTATTTTGAGATGGGGTGATGGGGTCTATTTGGCCAGGCTGGGCTCAAACTTTCAATCTTCCCGCCTCAGCCTCCCAGAGCACTGGGATTACAGGTGTGTGCCGCCACACCTGGCTTCTAATTATCAAAGTTCTTCCTTCCTTCCTTTTTTTCTCTTTCCTTTTTTGTGTATGTTTTTCCTGTGGTACTGAGGATTGACCCCATGGCCTTTCACATGCTAGACAAGCACTCTACCATTAAGCTGCATCCCCACCCCCTTTCTAAAAAGCTTTGAGGCAGGATCTCACTAAATTTCCCACGCTGGCCCGGAGCATGCAGTCCTCCTGCTTCAGCCCCTTTAATAGTTGGGATTTAGCTCAGTGGTGCGGCTGCCTGCTTGGAAAGTGCAAGGTTCTGAGTTCACTCCCTGGTACCCCCCCCCCCCAAGTTGGGATTATGGACATGTGCCACAAACCAGGCTCAAAGGTCTCACCGCCTTTTTTTTTGGTACCGGGGAACGAACTCAGGTTCTTGCGCTTGCGCAGCAGGTGGCGAAACCACTGAGCTAAATCCCTGGCGCAAAGGTCTCGCCTCTTAATACTGTTTTAATGGCAATTAAATTTTAACATGAATTTGGGAGGGACAAGCAAACCATAGCAGTGCTTTTCCACGCATTCACCAATCCCTACTTCATTTCCTTGTTCTCGCCCTGTGTTTTCCATGCCTCAGGTAAGTCTGAGTTATCTTCAAACAAGTGATCAATCCATGTTGATTAAGAGCTCAGTATGTACCTAATACTGTACATAGAACAAGAGCAGTATTTCTATATGAGAATATGATGGGTAGAAATTTCTTGCCGGAAACATTGCTCTGGTTTTTTTTTTACATTTTAAAACCAAAACTATTACTCTTTGGCCGATTAAATACATTTCCTGCAATATTCCATATATATGTTGTGTGGTCATTACTAGAGAGATGCTTCCCCCTACCGGTCAAATGTGGGATTGTAGAATTACTGGCAGGTACTTGGTCTGTCCTGCACGTTGCTACCCATGTTTCTCCACCTAGAAGATAAAATTCCCCACTGCTTTCCCTCCTATGAGCGGCTTCTTAGTAATCAACTGAAAAATCTGTGTTCCCACCCCGAGGTCCTGGCTGTCTCGTGCAACAAAGACTATCAGTAGGATTTTCTTCTGACTTGGGCACAGCCCAAAGGGACAGGGCTGACTGCACCAGTGGGGACAGCCTGGAGAGAGGGAAGGGTTCCTAGCTTTGTGGCCTGCTCATTATGGTAACCTCATCAGAAACCACATTTTAACCTGATCTGATGTAGACGTTTACACTTTTGTAATCTCATTAACTGGACTCTCCTGCTGTTTGGTTTCTTTCTTCACTACAGACAGATGATCTAGCAGTCTACCCAGGAGTCCAGGTGAATGCTGTTTCCTGGCATAATTAACAGCGCTCAGGTTCTGACCCACCCTCCAGCTCCCAGGAAGATCTATGGCCTCTGTCCCTCCCTGGAGCTATGTGATTCTTGTCTCCAGTCCATCCATTCCATCCAGGTCAACATAACCCGAGCAGCCTATATTTAGAGCCTCAGTGAATGACGATGATAGGATAGAAAGGTGTTTGATGATAGTGTGAAACCCAGCCTAGGATGTCAGATGTGATCTAAGCAGTAGGCAGTTATTAAACCCGATGGACAAGCCAGGTGTGCTTGGACCTACCTGTAATCCCAGCACTCAGGAGGCTGAGGCAGGAGGATCGCCAGGAGTTCCAGGCCAGCCTGGACTACACAGTGAGCTCAAGTCCAGCCTGAAGTATACATTGAGACCCTGTCTTTAAAAAAAGCCACACATAAACCCAATCAACAAAGCAGCTGTCTGGAGCCCTCAGGCAAAGTCCAGCAGCTTCTGGTACCATGTGCTTCTGCAGTCAGCCAGGATGAAGCTACCCAGACTCGCATCCCTTCTCTCGCTCCATCCTCCTTCTGGTCTGGGAGTCTTGCTCTGAACAGACTCAACCACCCTGTGGACCTGGTAAAAGCTACAACTGGTGAGCTTTGGGGTGTGTAAAAGAACAGCTCTCCCCTTGCAGAGCAGTGGCTCCCCTAATAAAACCCAAAGGGGGAACCTGCTGCCCTTTGCCTGCTGCTGTGTTGGTGGTGGGAAGACCCGGATGGGAAAGCTCAGGGATCTTCCTGTTATATATTTTTATTAGGTAGGAAAGAAGTTCCCAATCACATGAAGCTGCTTGGAAGAACCCTATGGTCCTGAAGCTCTATGATCTGAAAACTTATGGTCCTGATCAAGAGAAAATTGGCTGCTATAGCAACCCAGGATCAGGGACAGACAGGTCTGAGGGAGGACACTCTGACTAGGTAGAGCTGACCTCAGAACTATGAAGACATAAAATGTTGGCTTTTAGACAAGCACAGGAAAGATAACTGATTTGTCATCCCAAGGAAAGGCTCACTGTGACTCATCCCCTTCCCTTGGAAGGCTTTTAGAGGGAAGGTGCCCATTGATGTCCATTGTCACGGTCAGCATGCTTCTTTCCATCTTCATCCAATCAATACTTGTGAATCTTTTGTGTGAAGCTTTTCTCTCCTTAACTGGGTTTTTATCGTGGCAAAATGCACATAACATAAAATTTATTACTTTAACCATTTCTAAGTATATGGTCCAGTGATGTTAAATATATTCTCATTATTGAGCAACCAATCTCTAGAATTTTCTCATCTGGCAAAACTCAAACTCTGTACCCAATGAACAATAATGTCCCACCCCTAGCCCCAGGCCCTGCCAACCACTGCTCTGCTTCCTGTCTCTATAAATCTGACAGCATTAGATACCTCACAGAAGGGAGTCATGTATTACTTGTTTTTTTCTGACTGGCTTATTTTACTTAGTATAATGTCGAGGTTCATCTATGTCACAGCATGATTCCCCTGCCCAGCCTTGTACTGTCTGCTTGACCTGGCTGTATTTCTACCCACCCCAATCTTATTTACCTTTGAGACCGAGTTCCTGAAAGCCAGAAGTTCCTCTTCATGTGGGCCAGATCTAAGAACAACCTTCAGACAGCCTCTAAATTAATGATAATCTGACCTGCAGGTACATGGCTGGTACTATGACAGGTGAGAAATGCCATGACGATGACCAGGAGAACCATAGAAGGAGCAGAAAGGGGGTGGCACCTGAAAAGACAGGCTCTTCCTCCTCTTCATTAGCCTATCCCTCCTCTCATTGCTCTTACCCTATGTCTATAGCCCCTGCACCGCAAACTTGTCATGTTCTTAGACAAGGATAGAAGTCTCCTGCACTGCTTAGTGCTTTGCCTTTTTATTGGTTCCACGATTCAGAGAGAGAAAAAGAACCCAGCTTGGGGTCACAAATTGGTAACACAATTTTTTTTTTTTGACACAGTGTCTTGCTATGTAGTTTGGGCTGCCCTTGAACTCACCGCAATCCTCCTGCCTCAGCCTCTGAGTGCTAGGATTAGTTGTGTGCCATCACGCCTGGTCTGGTACCACAATTTCTTTCTTTCTTTCCTTCCTTCCTTCCTTCCTTCCTTCCTTCCTTCCTTCCTTCCTTCCTTTCTGTACTAGGATTAAACACATGCCAAGCAAGTGTTTTCCTACTGAGCTACACCCTCAGCCCTTTCTAAAATTTTTTCTTTTCTTTTCTTCATTTTTATTTTGAGACAGGATCCTTCTGTCTCAGCCTCCTGAAGAGCTGAGATTACAGGCAGTGCACCTGGCTTTCTTTCCTTCTGAAAGCGGAATAATATCCTGTCACTTTTTGTAAAGAAAAAAACCGATGAGATCTTATTCTTCTGACAATTCAGGGCCAGTGAAGAAGGGCGCTGTCTGTCTTGACCCAGCAGAGGGGAAATTGGGCCCCCAGCCTCCCCTTCCTCCTCTGTCCTCCCCACCCTGGCCCTGTGTTAGGGACGCTTTGGTGTCACTTCCTCCTTCCTCCCAGCAGATGGCAGCATGCTCCGAGCCGCCCGCAGACTCAGGTGGGAAAGTGGGCTGGGGCTGCCGGGGTGGGGGCTCGGTGCAGCTGTGCCGGGTGGGCGAGATCCGGGTTGAGTCGGGTGCTTGTTCTCCTCTTTAAGATGCCAAACAACCGAGTCTGCTCCAACCATCGTCTGTCAAGAGTCCGTTATATCCCAAGCACCTCCACACTGATTTCTTTTGTTCTCACAGTATAATTTTGGTTTATAAAAATTAAAAAAAGAAACCCAGAAGTTAAGGGACTTATGCTAGGTCACAGGGCTTGGAGATGGGAACCCAGGTCTCCGAGCTCAAGGCCAGTGTTCTTCCTAGCACGCCCTGGAAAAATGTAAAAACTT